CTACATGAACAAAACCTGCAATATATTCACATGTGTGAACTATAAACCATGTGTGTAAAACAGAAATTTAATTTCCAGGAAAACCATGCACGGCTCAAACGAAAACATTGTGTCTGGTCACACAAGCTGTGCTTGTTAATTCTCATACTAGCACATTGTTGCTCTAGTGCGTACATTATGAATCAAACTAACAACCTTCGAAGTCTTACGAGTGACCATTGAGGTATATTTCAAAATATAGTAAGAAGTCAGAGAATTGCAGGTATTGTCTGCTCTTAAAGGTGAAAAGCTGACCCTTATAACATACTTAGTCTATAACAGTTGTAGTTCAGTGAGGAGTTTGAATGAGGTGGAGGATGGAGTGAGTTCATTAGGGCCAGGATTTTACACGTCCCTGGATACTAGTTAACAGTCATGAACCGGTAAAGCGATGACATCATCTAAATAGCAATATCAATAGTATATGTGTTGTACTGCATGTTTAAATGCTCTTAAATGTAATTATTGTTTAATAATTAAAATTACTTGAGTAGACTACAGGTCAAATGTTTGTAGTAGTAAAGATTTTTAATGTTCTTAAAATAAATAATTATATTCAATCTTTTATACTCCACACTGAGACTTATTTGATCAAAAAAAGAGTAAAAACTGTAATATTGTAAAATTAGTATGTTTTTGTTGAAACTGTGATATACTACCATTCAAACATTTGGAAAAGGAATAATTGTATTCGGAAAGGACACATTCAATTGATCAAAAGTGACAGTAAAGACATTAATAATCATTATCTAATATAATAATGATAAAAATATTTTTTATTCATCAAAAAATCTTGAAAAAATATATCATTATTTCCACAAAAATATTGAGAAGCAAAGTCTGTTTTCAACATTGATATTTATTAAAGGGGTCATATGATGCGATTTCATTTTTTCCTTTCTCTTTAGAGTGTTACAAGCTCTTGGTGCATAAAGAAGATCTGTAAAGTTGCAAAGACTAAAGTCTCAAATCCAAAGAGATATTCTTTATAAAAGTTAAGAGTTAGCCACACCTACCTAAAACGGACAAGATGTAATAATGTAAAATAAATAATAATGTAAATAAAAATTGTAGTATACAATTATACATTATAGAATGTAAATGTATGTAGAGATCCAAGAATTCTTCATGATTCTGATTCAGTGGGTCTCAGAACATAACTTGAAGATAAACTACCTTTAATACTAAATGAGATGTCATTCAGACCGTCGTGGCACAGTATTTCATTGTTCACAGCAGGAGTCCTGCAAATCGCAATGTTTGCTCAAGTTCCTCTCTAAAATGAAAACGAGAAACACGTATTCATCAGAGTGAACATGCTTCATTGCTTATTTTTCAGACCAGCATGTGGATGGAATGGAAAACAGTAGCGTTTTCTTTGAGGTGACAAATTTCAAGCCAGTCAAGGACTACCGATGCTTCATTTTTCATTTTTCGTCATGGGATAGAAACATTTTTAGTGGCTAATGTTCACAAATTACTGAAATATGGCTCAGAACCTCTGTCACATAAGTATGTCACAAAAGAGAGAGAAACTGCCTCAGAATTAATGACATGACTAAGGATTCGAGTCAATTTGTGAATCATACTTGATTGCCCTTGACATTAATGATCGTATTTTGATGATCAAGATGTTCCTTGATGATCGCTTGACATATGATGAAGGTCCAGCACTAAAAAAAAAAGAGAAACACTGACATAAAGGACACAGTGTAAGAGATGAAGTGCACTAATAGCCCCCGAATTGGTCATATTTGAATCATGCCACAAATGGTAATATTAGACCTCGACCAACCGCCAAACCTAAAAATTAATTCTTCCTCTTTGGTCAATCCTAGTGCCAGTGTTTTGAGCCGGCCTATCTTCACATTAAGCTTCTGGCAAACGACAAATGGAAACATGATTCATAGTGCACAAAAAATACTTGATGTCTGCTTCATGTCTTAATTTGGCCTTTCTACCTATGAAATGTTTAGAGACCATGTAATTGTTGATTCATAGTCATCAGTGTTCTGACATCTCTTGACATCTCAAGTTAAAAAAAAATTAGATCATATTTAAAATGATTCATTATTGTGTGTGTGTGTGTGTTGATTGGAAACATACATACATGTTCCAACACATTTTTGTTTCTCTGTATTTTGTGGTGAACCGAATGACATGTGATCAATTTTGTATACGTGCTGTAGAGAGTCACACATAACTGATTGTCCTCTTTGACCCCAGCACAGGTCTCGAACCCAAACTCTCATCACTCGCCTCAATATGACGCAGGGCCTGGATTTGAACAAGCTTGCTTTGACTCACTTCCCATTTGGCCTGCTCAACAGGGTATTGACACAGCTTTTCGGCGTCCATTGAGGGGGGAAAGCAGTATTTTTTACTGGGCTTCATTTAAATGAATGGAGGCATTATGGAGATGTCACAGCCACCGACCCCTTCTGCTGTATATAAGCACTCAGTGACCAACTGACGGGTTACAGAGAGGTTATTTTTTAAACTTATGTATTGATTTAAATGTATGCAGTGACATTTATGCAGCAACAGTTCCATGAAGATAGAAATTTTTCTTTCATTTTCTTATTTATTTTTTTAATAAAATGATTTATTAAGCTAATTGCTTAAGATTTACACAGTTATTTAATTAATTGATTACTATTTTACTGTTGTTGATGTTTTATTTATTTTGTATTTATTTAATTGTTTATTTAAATTCATTATTAAAAATAATCTGTAGATGATAATTGGTTTATGGACATTTATGCGTACGGTAGCACACCAAAGTAATTTGCATACTGTACTTGCATATTACAGCTATTAAAATAATCATTATTGAAGTACTATAGAGTCATATAGTTTTACATTGTTTAAATACAATAGTTTAAATATTGTTCTTTTTTTTTTTAAATAAAATTATTTCCTAAAGTAGTTTCTGTAGGAATTACACAGTGAAGCAGTTTGTTTGTTTATAATAATAATTTTATTGTAGTGTAATTTTTAAGAATTTTATATTAATTTAATTATACATTAATTTAATTTTGTCATTATAAATAATATGTAGGTATAGTTCATATTTGGCCTATGAACATTTTTATTTATTTTTATAGTAGCATACTATTGTATTTGCATACTTTTTTAAAAATCTCATTGTAAAGCTAAATATCCCACATTGCATTTAAATTGTACACAATACAATTAGTTGCATTATTGTTATTGATATAATATTGCATTATTTGTTTGGTGCATGTTTTTTTTTATTACTTTAAGATCAAACAATAATTAGTCACTTTCTATTTTCTCTATTTTTAGCCTTTATTATAAAAATGGAACAAAATCTATTTTGAAAAGCATTTTATAGACTTGTGTTTCTATCACAGGAGTCCACATTTCAATGGCCATTTAATTTCATATTTTTCCATCAGGGACCCTTTTATAATCTCCTCAGGCACCTCAGTGGAGCCAGAGCTGCTCTCTCAGTCTGGGCACCATTACATAATCACAAACCGGATGACTGAGTGTGTGAGGTTGTAGAGGTTTTCCCTATTAATCTGAACAGTGTAATATTATATTCTAGTACAGAACCATCTCCCATGTATATTGTGTATATTTATAACAGATACATATCAGATAAACATTGGTTTACAAAATACAAACTGGGCATAGAATGAAACCTAATACTTTTTGTATAAAGCCAATTCACCATGCACCGGTGTAACTATAATTTTTCATGAGAAAATACAATAGTTATGATACATTTTATGAGAATGGTGCCTAATAGTAGCTCAGTTTTATTGTAAAATGCATAATTGGAATACACCATGGTAATTTGAAGGGTGGGACAGACCTGTCAACATAATATTTTACTCTTCTGACCACTTGACAGTTCACACGTCAGATTAACTACAATAGTAATCTACTGTATAAAGCCTACTGTATCAAATGTGATACATTAATTTCTAAGGCCTCTAAATTGTCAACATTATCATAACTGAATGAAAAACCTGTTGTACACAATCTGCTTACATGCCTTCTGTTGTCTGATTGATAGTTTATACTTGATAATATGTATCAAGTAATCCTTTATAATTTATTAGCAAGGAAAAATAAAAATCCTGTCATCATTTTCTCACCCTCAGGTTTTCAACCCTATATAAGTTTATTTATTCTATTGAACACAAAAGAAGATATATAAAAAAATAAAAAAAAGTTGATGGTCCCCTTTGACTTCCATAGCATTTTTCCCCATACTATGGAAGTCAGTGGGGACCATCAAATGTTTGGTTACCCATATTTTTCAAAATATCTTCTTTTGAGTTTAACAGAAAAAGAAACTCGTACAGGTTTGGAATAACTTGAGGGTGAGTAAATAATGGCAGAATTTTCATTTTTGGCTGAACTGTCCCTTTAAGTTTATTATATTTGATTATCCATTCATTTTTTAATGTAAGTATCAATATGATATGAAGATTGTTTATTTGTACATCATTTAATAACCATTGAATTGCATTGCATTATAGTAAGCATTTAATTATGATATCATGAGGTATAGAGTGACAACTGATATTTATATGCATTTATATTCATTTATATGCATTTTTTTCATTAAGTAGTCTGCTAATAGTGTTATAAAAACCTCTTTAATTTGCATTACAAGTTCAGAATTTCATCCTTCTATTTGGCCATATAATACAGCAAATTACATATTCTTGGATGTGTTTTTACTCCTTGTTGTGTGTGACTATGAGCTCCATGTTCTCACTATATAGACCTTAAAATCGTGATGTATAAAATATAATGCAAAACATAAAACACATTTGATTTAGATTTTTAATAAACAATAATCTGTTCATCAACAAAATGCCAGGCGTTAATACTAAAGGGTCGTGTTGTTTCGCCCGTCCTGTAGGTGGCAGTCCTCTGTGTGTAGTTTCCGTATCATGGATCACGAAAGACAGCGCTGGTCAAGTGTTTTGTTCACGCGGAGCTCCAGTTTCATTCTGACAGCAGATGAGGAAGTCAAACTCTGTCCGAGACCGAGGTCCTCTTTCAACGAGTGAGTATCCTGCAGTATGGACCGTGACATTTCGCAGTCATTTCTGTGTATCATTTATTGCTTTATAAAGTTTGTGTTTGTAGAGTTAGTTCGCTGCGTGAGTTTAAATGAAGTCGGTTGAGTGATGGTTTGTTTGACTTGAGTCAACTGAATCGCCTGATGATGCGATGAGAGGAGGATGTTGTATTCATAATGTTTTGCGCAATATAATATACCACTTTCTGTCTGTAGCTCAAATTTGTCTTCCCTATTTAGTCGTCATTGTGTTTTATTGAAGAGAAAAAGATGCACAAGAGCTGTTAGTTATGAGGTGCAGTGCACTGCATTCCTGCTCGACTTCTGTTCCATCATCCAGCAGCCTGGCATTTGGGCTCTGTGTGTCCTGGCCTCTGGTGACTACTTTTAAGGCAGTGTTAAAATGCAGGCATCAGTCTGACAGCTGCAGATGTGACTCTCCACAGTCTGACATGCTTTCTGTAGATCATGCTCTACTTGCATGACATGTTTGCTCATTATGGTTAATTTGTGAGGTAGGTTGGTATGTGCCAGTTGCATGCTTGTGAAATTGAAAAGTGGCCTAAAATGTTTACAACTCTCAAAGTTGAGGTCCAAAGAAGCACTTAAAGGGATAGTTTAAACAACACACACACACAAAGAGAGAAAGAGAATTGCTTCCTGTATGACTTACTTTTTTTTGTGGGATATTGAACATCATTCTATTCACTTCTCCACAGAAGAAAGTAAGTCTTAGGCTGATGATACACTGGGCAACTTTTTGAGCAATGTTGCCTGGCAATTTTGGAAAATGTTGCGGTCAACAGGCAACCAGGTGAGATATGGAGCCCACGACCAATCTAAAATATCCAAATATAAATTTGTTACCCATTCTCAATGGGAAAGTGCCCAAGCAACATTGCTCAAAAAAAGATGCCCAGCAGAATTGCTCAAAAAGTTGCACCGTGTATCATCAGCCTTACTGAGTTTGACTCGAGGGTGAGTAAATGATGGAAAAACTTTCCTTTTTTTTCAGTGGACAGGGTTTTTACCATATGTTCCTAGTTTGATTCTACCTTCAACATTTTGTTTTTATTTAGCAGTATAATGCTATAGCAGTGGTTCCCAACCCTGGTCCTGGAGGCACCCCAACACTGCATGTTTTGCATGTCTCCTTAATCAAACACACCTGATTCAGGTCATCAGCTCATTAGTAGAGACTCCAAGACCTGAAACTGGTGTGTCAGAGAAAGGAGACATGCAAAATGTGCAGTGCTGGGGTGCCTCCAGGACCATGGTTGGGAACCACTGTGCTATAGTAATGGTTTTTACTATAGACTGGTGATGATTAACTTTCTAGTTAATTATTTACCATTTTGGGATCAGTAAGGCAGTTTAGCATGCTTTATATTCTGCAAATGCAAGCTCTTTTGATTGTCTCAATTTTATTGCTGTGCACGTTATTAATTATTATGTAATTATTAATAATTACTGTAAAGTATTCACTTTAATACTTGCTCTTTCTTGCAATTAACTTTAAATAAATACATAAATTACAATTTTCAAAATGTAGAATTTTTTTTGGGGTTTGCTAAGGTCTTTGACAAAAAATAAAAAACAAGAATGCACACCAAAAGAATTATATCTTTAAATAAATCGTTTTATTTTTCACAATGTTTTAAAATTTGGTTTGGTTTGCTAAAGTCTTTGGCATTTATCATATTGTTTAAAAAAAAGGAAGAAAACTGAAACATTTTTCATTTTTCAATAAATAAATAACTTTTTCAAAATGTTGCGAAATTAAATTTTATATTCTAAAACCTTTGACATTTGGCATATTTTTGTCAACAAAAACAAAAATGAGTAAATAAATAAAATAAATTAATAATTAAATGAATTAATAAATAAAATATTTTTTTCCTCTAAAAAATAACTTTGTCATATTAGCTCAATAAATCATATAGTCACGTTCTGTCATCGATATTCAATTGCAAGGTTGTTGCAGTGCTGCTCTTATCCTCTTTATCTTAATGATAATCATTTATGACAGAAATAACCTGTTAAATAGTGGCAGTCCTCCCAATCAGAATAAAAGCACTTCACAGGATATGATCTCAAAGGTCGTTGGCTCTCTCCGTTGGTAGCTGCTGGACTGCTAGATTCATCATCACAGGATCATGTTGCTGATATGTACTGGACTCTGATTTGTTTCCTGTGATGTCAGATGGAAATTGGCTCTCCATTGCTCTGATTTGGAAACAGAAACAAGTTCATCCAAAAATGTTGTCACCATTCAGTCATCATGGTCAATTTGGTCTAGTTGACTTACTTCTGTGGAAAAGCTGTTTTTGCGCATACGGTGAAAGTCAATGGGGTCACACAACTTTGGACCCCATTGACTTTCATTGTATGGACAAAAACAGCTTTTCCACAGGAAAAACATTTTTTATTTTATGTCACACAGAATAAAGAAATGTTTTCAGGTTTGAAATTGAGAGTCAGTAAATGCCACTAAAATTCCAGCCCAGCAATGTCGGCTCAACCAATGGCATGAGTTTAGGGAGGAGCTATCTTTTTTTTCCCGACCAATAGCAGATAAGGGCATGTTTAAAAGTCTTTTTTTGCAGTTCCAGAAATGATTTCACCTTTTACAAGGCTGTATAGACATAAACATAATGAAATCTGTCCACTTAAGGCTGAAAAATGAATAAACACATATAGACATTTACATAGTGCATGTTGAATGTTACATACTTGGACATACTTACTTTGACATATTTGCTTAAAACAAAATCAAGATTGCGCAACACAGGAGAGGCCTTGCAGAAGAAGGCAATGAGTTTCTGATCAGTGTGAGTTAGGATGTTCAAAAATCCCTCAAAAGGCTTATATCTTATTATCTTGCAAGGATATTGGACTCTGGTTGCTTTGTGGCTTTTTGTAAGTGATAGTAGCATTTATTTATGAGTTTGTTTATCCATGTGTGTGTGTGTTTTTCCTGACCCTGGGTCGCTGTAGACGGCTTCCTCTCAACTTAATGTTCCCTGTCAACACATCCACAGCGTGATGAGTTATCTTTGGAAGCCGTAGACCTCAGCATTTCATCCAAGTCTCCCCCCTCCCCCATATTCACCTCTGTCAGGGGCCCGTGGCTATTATTATGCCCTTGATTACATGCAAACAGTTTGTAGTTTGTAGTATTCTTACAGACCGTGAAACATATTGGATGAACACATTGATTCTATATCTGGGTGACTTGATGGGAGTTTATAGATTGTGTAAAAAGTAGCCCCGGGATAGTTTGGATTAAGAAGCAGTGCAGTGTTTGTTTAGAGGCATAGCTGGCATGACCTGTATCAGCATGGGTATGGAAATGTGATATGGAACAGCATATATATCCAACACTGCATGCTTTCCCTAGCAGTCAGCATATTGGAAGACATGGCGTAACTCTTGAAAATGTAGGCCAAGTGTAACGGCAAGACTTGTTTAAATGTTGTAGAATTTTTATTAGTATTATTTGCATTATTTTAAAACATCTGGAAAATGAATGAATGTGGTACAAAAAAGTGTTAGCACTTTAGAATAAGGATACATGGATACATTATATATGGATACATATAAACATAACATAGTTAATGCAATAGCTAACATTAAATAATGAACAGCAGTTTTTCAGCAATTATTAATCACTGTTAATGTAAATTATTCTAATATGCTGATTTGCCGCTCAAGAAAAAATATTTCTGTCATGACAACTCTCAGAGGGATTGGCATGGTAATGTACATGACAATGTTAATGTATTTGGTCTTGGCGTAATACTCTTTGACCAAATGAGAGTTTGAAAGGACTGCATCTGAAATCTTATAAATGTCTGTACTGTCACTTTTTATCAATTTAATGCATACTTACAAAGTATTAATTTCTCATATATTGTCTATTGGCTCTTTATTGCAGGTAAGAACAGGAATGGATTTTGTGAGAGAAATTGATCAGGATTAACTCACATGTTCCTGGTTTTGGAAGGATGACACCAAATCTTTAAGGATTAAACACACCGTCATTTTCTAAGACAACCTTGGCATTAAGTCACTTCTGGACCCTAATCTTACTGGATTACGCACCTCATCTGTCTAATGTTTCCACCACTGAGCTTCAGCACGAGATGGTGTGCTGGGAATTTGGCTGTTTGACAGAGACTCGACAGAAATGTCGAAGTCAAGCGGACAGGGGATGTGCAACAGCGAACTTCCCCGGTTCCTTATTGGAAGTGAGGGTGGTGAAAGCAGAGAGCTGGATGACATAGACATGAGGAAGATCTCAGGACATTACAGGGAGGAGGAGGAGGAGGATGAGGATCAGGTACAGAAAATTATTCATGGACGAGTGAGCTTTTTTAAAAAATTTGTTACTGATGCTCATGCGATATCTTCTATCAGTCAGAGCGTCAGATTATGGTGGGGATCTGCTCCATGATGAAGAAATCGAAATCCAAACCAATGACTGAGATTCTGGAAAGGCTCTGTAAGTTTGAGTACATCACCGTGGACATTTTTCCAGAGGAGGTTATACTCAATGAACCGGTGGAGAAGTGGCCGTTGTGTGACTGCCTCATTTCCTTCCATTCCAAAGGTATCTGACATCACACAGTTCACACGCAATCAGCTTAAAATCTTGATGTGCCATATTGTCTCAGTATTATTAATGCTGCCTTCAAAACAGAAATTAATTACAATTAAATATCTAATAAAAAAAGAAAACAGTTATTTTGAATTGTGGTAATTTTTCAAAATTTTACACTTTTTGCTGTATTTTTTATCAAATAAAATAAATGCAGCCTCAGTAAGCATAAGAGAGTTTAAAAAAATAATAATAATAGAAAAACATTTCAAAATCTGACAACCCCCCCCAAATTGGATGTTAACTGATGCAAATGAATACAATATTTTTTTCTCATCTTGAAGGATTTCCCCTTGACAAAGCAGTAAGTTATGCCAAACTAAGAAACCCCCTCCTTATCAACGACCTCAATATGCAGTATTTCATTCAAGACAGGTGTGGTAAATTATTCTCTGAAATATTCTTGACAAGTAAACATTGTTATGAGAGTTGACTGGGACATACAGTATATGCTCATGGCTTTAGGAGGGAAGTGTACAGGATTCTACAGGAAGAGGGCATTGACCTTCCACGCTATGCAGTGTTGAACCGGGACCCCGACAGACCAGAGGGTAAAGATTATTACTGTGGTCATAATTTAGAAGATTTTTTCTGCATGCTTCAGAGTAAAGCGTGGCACTGTTCATTTGCAAGCGTGCAGCTCATGATCCCGTGTTTTCAGTGCCTCAGAGTGGCTCTGTGTTATTTTAGTATCATTGATATGCTGTTATTGTTTTGTTAATATTTTAAAATTAGATTTTATTTTTAGATTTAAAAATTTTTATGTAAATTGTAATGAAAGTTTTAGTTATTTTGTTGTTTTTGTCATTTTATTTTTTTTAATGTTTATATATTTATTACATTTTAGTATTTAGTTTTAATTTATTTGGTTTTAATTATTTTAGCACTTCATCTTAAACAAAAAGAAAATGAGAAAGGTTGCCTTGGCAACTTGCTGAAATAAAATAAGTTGTAAATAAGTGTTTTTATGTGTTTTAAGTGTTTTCATTTCATTTTTATTTGTAATTTTTGTTTTAGTTAATGATAATAACCAACCATATTCCCAAACTTGTAATGAGGAGCGCTTATAACCTGGCAACAAAAATGTTCAATAAAAGAAAAGCTTTAATGGCTCCTTGCGGTTTTCATGAAAATAAAACTTGAAGTTTTAACATTTAAAAATAAAAAAATTAAGACAGATATTAATTAAGACAGATTGTCATTTTACAGCTACTATACTATAAAATACAACTATTATTATTATGAACTATTATTATTACTGTTATTGAATACTCATTTTTGTAGTAGTAATATTTCTTACTTTATTTTTTTTATTTAGTAATAGTAATAACCACTACAACAACTACTATCATTATTATTTTATTTTATACATCATTATTTAATTGTGTAGCCCTGCAAACAAGCAGAGCAAACCTAGAGATTTAAATCGATATTGCAATTTTTATCAGAGAAGTCTCAATTACATATTTTCACAACATCATGTAGCCCTAATATACTTTCCCTTATGTCGTTTCAAACCTGTATGCTGTTTTATTTTTTTGGTTGAACTGTGCCTTTTAAGTTCCTCATAGTGGGTACCGAAATACTCTCTGTATTGCGAAAGATTGTGACATTTTGATTTTGTGACATCAGAATGTAACCTGGTGGAGAGCGAGGACCATGTGGAAGTGAACGGGGAAGTGTTTCACAAACCCTTTGTGGAGAAGCCCGTCTCTGCCGAGGACCACAATGTCTACATCTATTACCCAACCTCAGCCGGCGGTGGCAGCCAGCGTCTCTTCAGAAAGGTACAGTACTGATAACTTTTAATAACTTTAGATTTGTTTGGTGTGGAGCTCAAATCGTCCTTTCTGTAGATCGGCAGTCGGAGCAGTGTGTATTCTCCTGAAAGTACCGTTCGTAAGACTGGATCTTACATCTACGAGGAGTTCATGCCCACAGATGGCACTGATGTTAAGGTAAACCTGTATTTCATGTCAAGACACTACTGTATGTGGTGGCTGGTTAGATTGTTTATCCCTGATGGATATTTTAGGTTTACACAGTCGGACCTGATTACGCTCATGCCGAAGCCCGTAAGTCTCCTGCTCTGGATGGGAAAGTGGAGAGAGACAGTGAGGGGAAGGAGATCCGCTATCCTGTGATGCTCACCGCGATGGAGAAGCTTGTGGCCAGAAAAGTGTGTCTTGCATTTAAGGTGAGTCTCGCAAAAGAAAAGCACATTGTTTTGTCAGTAGCTGCAGGTTATGAATGATAATGAAGATGTTTTTTGTCTCATAATGTCTTTCCAAACCAGCAAACAGTCTGTGGTTTTGACCTCCTCCGAGCAAATGGCCACTCTTTTGTTTGTGACGTTAATGGCTTCAGCTTTGTAAAGAACTCCATGAAGTATTATGATGATTGTGCCAAAGTTCTGGGGTAGGTGAGGCCGTGTTGCTGTCTTGTGTTCTGTGGTAACTCGAAAATCTCATCTTCACACAATTTTTACATTTTACAACTACATAACTGCATACACTGTAATTTTTCCCCCCAAATTTGTAAATAAAATTAAGATGTTTGGAGTCTTTATTCTTCAAAATGTCATATTTAATTACATTTGTTACTTGCTGTTACTTGTCAAATAATTTTGCCATTTCTCTAAAATTCAACACATACATTAAACTAACACTCAAGTTTTATTTTTTATTTTATTTCTCTTTGATCTAAGCTTTGAATTTAAAACGCATCTTTACTGGAAAAATCTAATCTGTTACCAGTCTAAACTGGTTTACTAGTTAACCAGTCTAAATTGGTTTACTAGTTAACTAGTCTTAACTGGTTTACTGGTCTCCCAGCCTGTTAAGGCTGATCGGTTGACTGGTTTTAGAGTCGTTTTGGGCACTTTTCAGCTGACCAAGCTAAACCTGCTAAATACTTGGCAGGCTGGGAGCTAAGACCAGCTTGAGGCAGTGAAGACCAGCAAAACAGCAAGTTTTTTGTTTATATAGCGCTTTATGCAATTCAGGTCGTTTTAAATCAGCTTAGCAGTAATAAACAAAAAAAAAATAGTATTAATGTTACAAAGTTCTTCAATTATGAAACTAATACAATTTCTGTCCTAAAGCTGCTCTAAAAAGACAATAGTGTCGTTATCCAGTTCAGTTTAGTCCAGTTTTGATTCAGTTCAGTTTAATAGGGTGAATTATAGGGTGAATATTGCAAAGTTCATTAGTTATCAAGTGAGCTCAGTTCAACTATAAAGCAGCTCTATACTGTAGAAGGCAATAGTGTCATTATTCAGCACAGATGTATTCATTCCTGTCGTATAAGGTAATTTCTAGATATTTTAGCTCATGTTTGATGTCTTTCCTTCAGGAACATGGTGATGCGAGAGCTGGCTCCTCAGCTCCACATTCCCTGGTCGATCCCCATGGAAGCAGAGGACATCCCTATCGTCCCGACTACCTCAGGAACCATGTGGGTGTACCATTCTTGACCTAAGGATATATTTCTGTCTCAAAGCTGTTTATTGTGAATTCTGGATTATTAAATCCAATGAGGTAGAATTAAATGCTTACTATGTGTGTTGTTGCTTTTAAACATGTCATCTCTTGTCTGAAGGATGGAGCTCCGTTGTGTTATTGCTGTAATTCGCCATGGCGACCGTACGCCCAAACAGAAGATGAAGATGGAGGTCAGGAACGCCCTGTAAGTGACAAATTCTAACAGGCTGCTTTTACACTGTAGCTACATATTGTTATCAATTTTAATCTGAATGCTTATATGTAAAGTAAATGAAATAATTAAAAACTCAATTAAACATACATTAAGCAATATGAATTAAACAAATGAATTAAACAGAAGTGAACTGAATGATAATTTAGAGGACTCACTTCTGCATTTAAAGTGGTTGTCACATCGTGGCAGGGTCAAATTTGTATCTATGATTTAAGTATTTTATCTGATGGTTATGTCTGATTCCATTTCTCTCAGGTTTTTTGAGTTGTTTGAGAAATATGGTGGCTATAAGTCTGGAAAACTCAAGCTGAAGAAACCAAAACAGCTCCAGGTGGGTCTGTTTTGAAGTACAAGTGATCTATGCGGTTAATTTATTTTTATGACAAGTGCTACTTGTTCTGTAGATGCAAGAACTAACATAATATTTCAGTTTCATAACAGGCTTGCCTCCAGCCTAATGATTTACTTTGTATAAGGCCAGGAATTTGCGCCACAGGGTCAAAGGTCAAACAGGATTGAGCTGTCTTTTTTAAGATACATGTAGTGTTATGTCTGGAATGCTGCAGCCTTGAGACTCATCGGCGTGTCATGCATCTGTTGGGTTTTGTGTGAAAATTAACCATGTGGACAGTTGGCTTAAGCTTTGACCTGTTTGATCTTATCTGTGACAATGTGCAGTTGTGATTTGTACATCATTATAAAAACCTGAACACTTTATTTGATGTTTTACAGGAAGTGCTGGATATTGCTCGTCAGCTGTTGGCAGAACTGGTCCTACATAATGATTGTGAGATTGAAGAGAAGAAATCCAAACTAGAACAACTGAAGACAGTTCTGGAGATGTAAGTAAACTGTTCAAAAGTCCAGTAGTACCAAAACCCTCCATTTCCAACACTGTGAGATTATGGAAAGCTACTGTACACACACCATCATCTCATCTCAATCATTTCTAAAACATGTTGGATTCCTTCTGTCAACTGAAAATTCTCAATTCTCTTTTCACATCTTCGGGCAAAGGTCTTGCTGAAAATATAATAATTTCCAGACATATATTGTATTTTTGATTAGCTTCACTATTGATATTAGTAGGCCCTCATGGAATGTGCACAAATGCTTGCATATTTTCTACACATAGTTTTATCAGTTTAGCCAAAATGGAATAACTGGAATATAATTAATTATTGGTTACTTTTAAAATTAAAATGTAAAATAAAAAAATAATATTATGTCGGCATCGATAGCCTCATGGGCAGCGCGCCGACATACAGCATCGTTGCACTACGGGCCTCTCAAGTTCGAATCCCGGCTCGAGGACCGATCCCGCCCCCCTATCTCTCACCCACTTCACTTCCTGTCATCGCCACACTGTCATATCATAATAAAGGCAAAAATGACAAAAATAAATTTTTAAATAATAATAATGTAAATAAATGATTTTTAAGTCATTAAAAATATTTAAAAACTTACAAGTAATGAGTTTAACGTACTTGAAATATATATATATTTTTTTTATTCTCAGATGTAACCTCACTATTAATGGTTGCTAAATAAGCTAAACTCAATGCATTTAACTGTAACTAGATACTGTATAGATATTTCAATTTTGCTCAGTACAGAAAAGTTGATAATTAATTGTTTATTTTATGGTCAAATAGTGAAAATGAGCATGTACAATAAAATGTCCAATATTGACAGCTACCGATAAATGTAAAAAAATCTTTAATTAATTGGCTGGTTAAATACATGATACCGATATTTTGCATCTCCCTAGTTGTACCAGTGAAATTTAGGTTTTAAATTTAGAGTTTAGAGTCTTTAGAGTTTTAGGCAAAACCATAAAGAAAAATCAGTTTGTACAGTTTGCTGACCTTCTTGGGAATCAGGGCAAGCCTAATCAGACTTGATTTTGTTGTTAACATGACACACATAGCCAAAATTTACTATCATATCTTCTAGTCTTAAGCATCATGGATGCGTATTTCAGGAGAGACCTGATATTTCATGAACAGCTGAATGTATGTAACTGACTTTATTGTGACCTTGACTCATTTGCTTCCTTAGATGTCCTCATATGGATGAGTTTCTTAACTTCATTCCTTTTGTCTCTCTTCTCCTCTCTTTGTGTCCCTCTTTGTGTCTTGGCCGTTCTCTCCAAAGGGAATCCAGCCTGAATGATAATCAGTGCGCACCCTCATATCCCCTGTCTCTTTAGAAAGCAGGCAAAGTGGATCATAACCCTCATTAACCCAAGATCTTGTTAAAATTACTGACACTTTAATGAGGGCTCCAAAATTGACCGTACCTTGGAGATGAATCCCTTTTGCAATTCTGTGTGGCATCTGCATGCCATTTTGTTTCTAATCTCTCACGATCCCTCACTTCCTCCAGACCCCCTCACAGAGCTCAAATGTGGCACCTAATCAACACATTATCGGTTGTTCGGGGTCATGGATTAACTAGGAAACAGGTGCTTGGGGAAGTGCCTTGCTTTGGGTTGATTAAACATAATGCAGCAGAGCAAATTCACTCCATGGTCCGTTTCTGGCCAGTGAGATAAAGAACCACCTTTAGACCCGATTTAGACCAAGTTGTATCAAATTAGAAATATTCTAAACTACGGATACACTGATATTACAAATCTGGCCAATATTAATTAGCCGATAATTATTTAGATATTATGGCTTATAACCGATAATTGGCCAATATTAAAATTCTGTTTTGTAAAAAACACACACACACACACACACACACACACACACGAAAGTATTCCTTAGAAGCACTCATTCCACTCATTCCGCAAAGCACAGCAGATTAACTAAAACCTGCACACCTTGATTTCCCATAATTAAGAATTTTAATATTGGCCAATTATTGGTTATTAGCCATAATATCGTGGAATAAATTGTGGATATAAATTGTAGAGACCAGACCAACTACAACCAGAATTCCCACTCTCCACTGTATTGTGTAACCTAAAAGCGTGCCAGATGCCAATAATTATTTAAAGTCTCTTGTGCTCACCAAGGTTGATTATATTTGATCAAAAATAGAGTAAAAACAGTAATGTTGTGAGATTATTACAATGTAAAATATCAGTTTTCTATTTAAATATATGTAAAATGCAATTTATTCTTGTCATGCCAAAGCTAAATTTTCACGTCTTTCATGTCTTTCAAATGTCTTCACTGTCACTTTGGTTCAGTTTAATGCATCCTTTCCAAATAAAAGTATTCATTTCTTAAAAAATGTCTTACTGATCCCAAACTTTTGAACATATTTTGAAAATATGCTTTATATAAAAGATATTTTGAAACATTTTTCAATAAATTATAGAGACCAACTCTCCAGAATTCCCCACTCTCTGCTGTATTGTTTAACTTAAAAACGTGACACTGTTGCAGATGTTTTATTCCTCCCAAAGCTTGTCATTCCTGTAGAGACAGTCCTGGTATGGCACAGATTAACCCCTGCCAGCTTGGGAAGGTCACTCAGATACATGTTTCCAGAAACATGGAGGCCACAGAGCACCTGCTAGTGGTTTGAGCGCAGTGCTATGTCTGATGCGTGCTGTCTGTATTGTTCAGTGGGAGAATGCTCATTAAGAGGGGGTGGTATGTTTATGTCCCCCACCCCGTGTATTGTCTTTCAGGTATGGCCATTTCTCAGGGATCAACAGGAAGGTGCAGCTGACCTACCTGCCAAATGGGCAGCCCAAAGCATCCAGTGAGGAGGAAGGTATGTGTACAGTATGTATATATGTTGACTCAAAATAGCTGTTGCATCACTTTTGACCTCTCTGTGTCTATGGCAGACGCTCTGAAGGAGGGCCCGTCTCTACTGCTAGTGCTGAAGTGGGGTGGTGAGCTGACGCCAGCGGGTAGAGTTCAGGCTGAGGAGCTTGGACGAGCCTTTCGTTGCATGTACCCTGGAGGACAAGGTATAACTCTATGCTTGCACCAGCCAGAAAGCTGTACTGATAAACTGATTAGAAATACAGTGGCCCTAAAAAGTATTTTGAAAATAATTTTGCGCATAACAGTAAGAAAGCTATGAAAGCCCGTTTCTGCCACTGATTAAAAAAGGTAATTGTGAATATTTATATAAACTTGCAGTTGCGATTTATGAAGTCAGTATTGCATGATATAAACACGCAATTCTGAGAAATGAAGTCAGAGTTGCGACAAACTCACAATTTTGACCTTTTTTCTCGTATAATGATGCAATTGCGAGAAAAAAGTCAGAATTGTGAGACATAAACTCAGAATTGCAAGATACAAGAAGTTTTTAACTTGCTATTCTGACTTTATAACTCACAATTCTGAGTTTATATCACACAATTCTTGGAAAAAAGTCAGATTTGCGAGTATATAACTCGCAATTCTGACTATAACTCTAACTTTAAAAATGTATTAAAGGGGTCATATGATGTTGCTAAACAGAACATTATTTTGTGTATTTGGTGTAATGAAATGTGTTTATGCGGTTTAAGGTTAAAAAAACACATTATTTTCCACATACTGTACATTATTGTTTCTCCTCTATGCCCCGCCTTTCTGAAACGCGTCGATTTTTACAAAGCTCATCGGTCTGAAAAGCGAGGTGTGCTCTGATTGCCCAAACAAAGTAGTATCGCTTTCACACGAATCACACAGTGCCTTCACGACATGGCGGCGGCGGCAACAATACTACAGCGAGAATAAAAGTTACGCCTTCTTTCTTTGCGTGAACATTTGGGTGGCGTTATGCAAATCTTCCCACATCGTGATGTAAATATGTGGGGGCGTGTTAGAACGAGCCGTTTTAGGTAGGTGTGGCTGACTCTTAACTTTTATAAAGAATATCTCTTTGAATTTGAGACTTTAGTCTTTGCAACTGTACAGATCTTCTTTATGCACCAAGAGATTGTAACACTCCAAAGAGAAAGGGAAAATTGAAATCGCATCATATTACAGATCTTCTTTATGCACCAAGAGCTTGTAACACTCCAAAGAGAAAGGAAAAATTGAAATCGCATCATATGACCCCTTTAAAATATCCTCTTATAGTCAGAATAGCCTCAGATCTAAATCCCAAAAATATGTATACTTAAACTTATACAAATAGTATTAAATATTGAAGATATATTGAGATATTAATGTTATAAAAATTGTACAATTTTAAGAATTCCAACAAAGCATGCTTGCTCTTCCTTTAATTTTTGCCTGAAGAAAATTTTCGTGAATCCAGCCTAAGTTGTTTACAGGAACAGTTGTTTTGATAAAGCTCTTGATAAATTGGATGCTTTGACAAGATATTGTGTCTGTTTTTAGGTAGTGGGGCAATGATGCAGTTTTTCAAAGCTCATAGCTTTGGGCAGGAAACCTGTTCCACCTGCCTGTTCAGTGGGCTTGGCATACAAAAGCATGTAGGGGCAGGACTCAGGGAGGCATGAATACTTTCTTTACCTCAAGTAGCACCTTTAACTTTCAGTACGCCAGCACAAAAACTTCTTAGTCATGCTGTGGATTCTTTCCTGTGTAGTTCCATCACTTCCCCCCGGACCTCGAATTTGAGTCCATATTTGCATGCTGCAACTAATTGAGTGTAACTCATTAAATGTTCACAGACTTACAAAGACCAAACCATTTTCTCTCATTAGACTGAGTCAGCAGCATCTTGCAATGCTGGTTAATGTGGTGTTCTTTTACCCTGAATTGTTAACTAGACAGCTGCAGGTCCCTTGGCTGTGAGTCCCCTATTGACTGTGGTAAGAAGAGATTTTGGATTTGTGCGTGGTCTTGATATTGGGTTAATGCATCATCTGCCCCATTCATCAATTTAATTGCTTAACATCCATCTCATTAAACTAATCCAAACAGAAGGACGCCACAGGAACATTCCATACTTCGCTTTTGCCACGGTTTTGTGTGGAAGATTCCATGATATGGATTAGGCATGGGCCGGTATGAGATTCTGACGGTATGATAACCTTAGATAAAAAAAATATCACGGTTTCATGGTATCACGGTATTGCGATTACAGCTCTAAAATATGTTATTTTTAAATGTCTGGGTAAAAAACGACAACTTTTTTTCCACTGAACACATTTTATTTTTAAGAAACATATAGAACATTTTGGAACAGTAAACATGTCAGGCTAAATAATTAGAATAAATAATTAAATTCTTCTTAATTAAATGCAGTCACTTAAGTGAGCCTAAACCTGCAGCTCAACAATAATCAGAACATAAATACTTTTCCAAACTGCGGTATACCTTGAAACCGGTTATCGTCCCATGCCTAATATGGACATTGGTCATACTCTGACATACTGAGATAAAATATCATAATTCATGAGCGTTTTTTTTTTTTACTTAGGAAGTTTATTTTTGTCGGCGTAGAGAGTTTGAAATTGTAGTGTTACAATTTTTTTTCTACAGATTTCTTTAAAAACCTTTATTAAACTACTGTGCCATTATTTTAACAATCTGTGGCATCTGTTTCAAGGCATGTCAGTCCAACATCTTGTCTAAATAGGTGGAATAAGACAATGTCATCCAGATTTTTCAGATGGTTTCAACTTTCTTTTTTATGAAAGACTATTAACACCACATAAGAAAATAAAATAAAAAATCATGCTTTGGGCATAAAAAAGTCATATTTATGGGATGCAAAAGTCAAATTATTACATATTACTGTAAAGCATAATTATGAAAGTCAAAATTGAGTTAAAAATCATAAGACATTAAAAAGTAAAGTTTGAGATTATGATTTAATATGTAATAATTAGATTTTTCATCTCATAAAATACTTTTTGTCTCAATTTCAACTTTTTTCATAATTATTACGTTATTTTTGCATAAAGTGTTGATATTTTATGTCACGATTATGACTTTTTAAATTATTTTTTATGTATGTAGTATTTAATAGTATCTAAATATGCTTTAACAAATTATGATTTACCTTTTTTTTCTTATGTGGTGGAAATGGGCTACATAAATGCTACAGGACATGTTCTTGCATTCAAAACCAGCTTCATGAAGCACATTGTACATCTCAAAATTGTAAAAAAAAAAAAACTGTCTTAATTTTATATTTACATCATAATGGATAAATATCTCCATTTGACACTTGCTTACATGGACAAAAAGAACAGATGGACCACGAGAATGCATCCTGTGTGAATGGATGTTTGTTTTAGGGTACTCATCTGTTCTCTCAAATGAACATTCTGGAATCTTAAATCAGAGTTCTGTTTGCTACTCAATAGTGCAATGCAACACTCATGTGAGAAGCACCTAAACCAGTGTTTCTCACCTGGTGGGTCGCGGAGTGTACGGCCAAAGAAACGGCATCAACAACAAAAAATGTAATTCTTAATGTTTTTCTGATGCGAGACTTTTATTTTAAAAGACGTGCGTGAGGGCTGTTGACACTTCTGTCAGATGCAGTTTAAAGGGGTCATATGATGTTGCTAAAAAGAACATTATTTTGTGTATTTGGTGTAATGAAATGTGTTTATGCGGTTTAAGGTTAAAAAAACACATTATTTTCCACAGAAATTGCATCATATGACCCCTTTAAGTAAAGAGTGCCTGAGAAAAGCGTGCTGTTCCGATTCAGTATCTGCGGTCAGATGAGTTGACAGGCTTAATGTCAGTGTCATTATTCTATCGTTATTTTCGTAACTTGTTATGAAATAAAAAGTCTCTCATCTTAGAAAAACGAACTATCCCGTCCTGCCAAATGTTATACCGTGTTCGTAGCGCGCACTGTTCAAAAGCACGCACGAACGCAGCGCCGCGCTGTATATCACTTCACTAAAGCGCAGAAACTATGAGCATGCAACGCGTGAAATAAAAGTACAGTACAGATAAATCACATAACTGGTACTGCGTGTGTTAGCTGTGAAGGATTTTGTATGAAGGTATGATATTCATTCTATTCAGGAGCAGTTTCCACGTTTCATTAACAGTTCATGTTATTATTGTATTTTCACCATGGTAACTGTTTCCATAACCCAAAAATACCATGTTATTTTCACTTTGTCATTTTGTATATGTTTAAGTGACTGTGGTGGCTCAAACCAACTTAACTGTATTAACAAAAACTAGTTTGGGACTGCTATTTAATAGCCTTACTTTATAGGCTGTTTATTCAGTATTAATCATATTCTTAACAATCTGAACTTAATTTTTGTGAAATAAATTTGCTTTGATTTCGTTTTTTAACAAATTATATATATATATATATATATATACATACATACATACATACATACATACATACACACAGTGGGTAAAATAAGTATTGAACACATCACCATTTTTCTCAGTAAATATATTTCTAAAGGTGCTGTTTTCACCAGATATCAGTAACAATCCAAGTAATCCATACATACAAAGAAAGCAAAACAAATAAGCTCAGAAATTAAGTTCTGTGTAATAAAGTAGAATGACACAGGGAGAAAGTATTGAACACATGAAGAAAGGGAGGTGCAAAAAGGCATGGAAAGCCAAGACACCAGCTGAAATATATCAGTAATTAGAAAGAAATCCTGCCCCTTGTCAGTGGAAATTAATATTAGTTGGTTCAGTTCCAACTGATGGCCTATAAAAAGGTGTCTCATGACCAAAGTGTCACACAAGAAACATTTCATGATGGGTAAAAGCAAAGAGCTTTCTCAAGACCTTCGTAACCTTATTGCTGCAAAACATACTGATGGCATTGATTACAGAAGGATTTCTATACTTCTGAATGTTCCAGTGAGCAATGTTGGGGCTATAATACGGAAGTGGAAAGAACATAATTTCACCATAAACCGGCCACAACCAGGTGCTCCTTACAAGATTTCTGACAGAGGAGTGAAAAGAATTATCAGAAGAGTTGTCCAAGAGCCAAGGATCACTTGTGGAGAGCTTCAGAAAGACCTAGAATTAGCATGTACAATTGTTTCAAAGAAAA